GTGGACTTCAACTCCCAGAATTCTGGGAGTTGAAGTCCACTCATCTTAAAGTGGCCAAGTTTGGACAACACTGTCTTAGGCAATGGGGCAACTAGTCTTCTGGCAGGGGGAGGGGGATGCATCAGTGAAGGTCTTCCAGCAAAGGCTACACAGCTATTTGTCTGGGGTGGTCTGACGATTTTGGCAGAGGGTTAGACTAGAAGACCTCTGAGGTCCCTTCCAACCGTACAATTTTATGACTCTGTGACTGTGCCCACCTATCTGCCATGCCCCTAATGCCATCCCAGCAGGGTTATATGGCTGGTTTGGTCCAGTTCCTGCAAAAGAGTTGTTAACTTTTTCTAAGTATTAAGCAGAGGACAGCAGTCTGGTGTCTTTCATGGCCCACCGGCCACTTCCAGCCTTGGGTTCCCCGCAAAAGACTCTCTGCTCAGTCTTCACAAGCAGCACTCTTAGAAAACTGAAAGAGCGGTGGCCAGTCTCCACCTAGGTGCCTAGTGATGCCAGCCCAGGAACGCCAGAGGTGAGGTGGACTCCACCTCCCACCATCCAGAGAGCTGGGCAGGAATAATAATTACAATTAATTATAATTAATTATAATAATTATAATTTATTAAACTTGTACGCTGCCCGACTCTCAACAACCCTGGGTGACTCACCACAATCAAACCAAGCAATTACTATGAAATCAATAAAAAATGAAGATAAAAGTTGGCTAGCATGATGAAGCGAGGAGTCCTCCTCTCCCTTGCCGAAGGCCTGGCTGAAGAGCCTAGTCTTCACTGCTCTCCTGAACGACAGCAGAGTGGGCCCATCCAGATCTTGGGCGAACCTCGTTCCAGAGGGTGGGGGCTGCCGCAGAGAAGGTGCGCTTCTGGGGTCCCAGAAGATGACATTGCTTAATCAAAGGAATCCAGAGCGTGCCAACCCTGCAGGATCGAATCGGTCAGGCAGATGCTATGGGAGGTAGGAGGTCCCTCAAGTAATATGCCTTTCCAACTGGGTGAAGCTGTCTCTGAGCACATGTGTTCCCTCATTGGGATAACATTCCTAATCCATCCTCTGGCTTCTCCTACGTGGGCCCACTCCGCCACGCTCTTTCTACGCGCCCTGTTATCGTTCGCTCTCTCCCTCCTAGAGGGAGAGGTGTGTGCCGGGCTGGACACCTAAGAAGGAAAGAAAGTGAATGACATGGCTACTGGTTACTAAACACATTTTTAATCCCTCCCTGGGATTTTTGAAGCCGTTCTGAGCGCATCTCACCTTCCTCGTAGAACATTAAACTGCCCCGCACCGGCAGCCCCGTTGTGGTTCTTCACGACCTTACATCAGTGAGGGGGAAGCCTCTCGGATGGGGCCACAAGCCCGAGACGATCCGCATCATTACTCGAGACCTCATTCGGGACCTGGTGTAAGTCCACGGTGGTCCTTCACCCCACTTCCCACCCTTGCTTTATCCCTCCTTTCTACAATTCCCTCTAGGAGGTATCTGGGAGGGTACAGGCCACAAACGTGGGATCACTGTGGGTATATTAGCATGAGGTCAAGCTAGAACTTTGATTTGGCTGTTATTTAACCGCATAACGTCCGTGAGGAGAGAAGCTGGCCCAGAGACACGGTGGAAGTGGCAGCCAGTTCTGAGATCCCAGCTCCGTTTTCTCATATGGTTAAAGGAACCTTTGAACAAAGCACCTTCTCAACCAGGTGAATTATATTCCCAACTGCTCCACCTGGACCAGCCATGGGTGAGCGATGCTGGGAGGTGGATGTTTAGTGAGAGGATCCACGCCAGAGAAAACTTTGGGCAGGTTTTGTCTCTGCGAGGGGCGGTGCTGTCTGATTGTCCTCTTTTTCTTCTCCTCCCAGCGTCCCCACGGTGGACCCCTCAGGAGAATCCCTGATCATCAGCCCTGAGGATTTTCAGCGCATCAAGGATTCCTCTCGGGTCCTGACTAAAGAGGAGCGTGAGGCTCGACTGGCAGCCATCCGGGCAGAACGAGAAGCCACCATAGTACGTCTGCTCTCTCTTCCTTCTTGCAGTGATTCCGGTAGATGGCCCTCACGCCCCTTTAAGTCTGCGGTGGAGGGTCCGCAGTTGCCAGATGTTGGGTACAAGGTTGCGATCCAAACCCTGCCAGCCATAGTGCTGATCTTGATCCCCACCAACTGATCTCCCTGACCTGATTTTACCCTCAAAACAAGTTAGTGAGGGGGGATAGTTAAGTCGAGAGCAGGATTGCCCCTAGATCTCTCTACAAACCTCATGAATCAGTGGATAACTAAACACATCCTTGCTGCAGAGAGTTCCAGGTTGAGGTGGACTTTCTCTTAATGACTACCTCCACCAAAGATGCAAGACTGAAGGGGTATTTTTGCCTGTCTCTCAAAGGTAACCCCTTTCACACAGGAGATGTCACCTGCTCCTCAAAGCTTCAGTCCTTTCAATGGACTGTGGTTCACCAAGAAAGATTGTAGTGACCGTGGTCCCACCGAGATGGCAATGCCTCTTCAAAGGGGGCATCGATGGAGAGGGTTGCCAGTTTTGGGAGTAATCTGGATTCAGTCACTCTGAGCTGTTTAGTGGCTCCAAACACACAGGGTTTCCTGGCCTTCCCTCTACCTCACACGCCCCTGTTCCTTTGGACTTTTTGGAAAGAAACCTTTAGGCAAGAAACAAAGCTTGTTTTGGCCTTTCAGTTTTACCCTTTTATAACCCTGAGCTGTCCGGAAGCTAATTTGCAGGTTATTCCTGAGAAGGCCGGTGTTCCTCTCCATCACATTCCTACATGCTAAATCATCACTCACTTTAGGGTTCATATTTGTTTATTATATAGTGAAGTAGTGCACGAACAATGTCAACAGCAGCAAAAAAGAAATAGAGTGGTAATTATCTTTTTTTTTAAACTCATACACTGCAGTGATTAAAATAAACTAAATCACACTCTCCTGCCAGAGACTCTCCATCAATAACCTAGTTTAACAGATGAATAGTATTTTGCATTGGCTGAAGTTTCTGAATAATCTTCAAGTACATCCCATCTAAATTGAGGCACCTTTGACTCTAGAAGTCCCTGGCAGGTGGATGTCAGTGGGCAGGTCTGCAGTTCCTCAGTAGCTAATGTAACTGCCAAACTGGGTTGGTCACATCAACGGAAGGATGGCCAACTTGTTTTAAATTCTCCAACTACTCGCCTGGAGGCAGCCCTCAGCTCGCCACAGGTGACCAGGTAAGTTCAAAAGCAACAAAATATAATCCAAGCACCCTTTTCCCTGAGTGGTGCTTGGTTATCTTCCAGTGCAGGCCTGCATGTTGGCTCAAAGCCCCTCTTTTGAGTGGGTTTTGTCTTCCAAGATAAGATAAGTGCTGGTGGATGAAGAAACGTCATTACTTTCCCAATCTTTTTTTAAAAAATCAATTTTAGTGCATCATCTTATGCTGCCTCCTGCTCTCATTCTGAGTTTGTTATTGGTTTCCTTGATTCAGATGCCGGCTAGAAGGAGTTTATTTATTTTTTATTTATTTATTAAATTTGTACGCCGCCCATCTCCCCCAGCAGGTGATTCTGGACGGCTCACAGTGCAAGTAAAACCCACAAGCCGTTAAAAAATACACACCCCCATTAATTAATTAAAATTTGGCACGTCTGTTTTCCAAGAAGGAAGTTGGAGGCGTTTCCTGGTACGGGTCTAGGCCGCGTCGCCAACTGAGTGGCGGGAAGATGCCCCGCTGGCTTTCTCGTCTTCTCCTCCAGGTCGCCGTGAACGAGCGCAAGAAATCCATGAAGCTTAAGGAGATCCTTCGGAAGAAGAACGAGAAGCTAAACGACCTGGAAGAGGAGGCCAAGGAGAGAGCGCAGTACCTCTTGGAACGGGCGACCAACCTCCGCATGGAGCAGGAAGACGAGATCAAGTCACTCAGCGAGGTGGGGATCAGGCTGAAGGAGCGAAGAGCGGGAACTTTAGATGCCAGCCTCAGATTGACCAACTTGCTGGTTCGCCACAGGTGATCAGGAGGCCCACCTAGGCGAGGGTCCCTGGCTGGCATACGGGGACCAAGTCGTCCTGAAAGCAAATGGCATTTTTCCTCTGCTAGTTGAGCTGCTTGAAGATAGATTTTGCTGTTCTTAGTTTCTTACAGGCCTGCCTGCCCCAGTTAGCTGCAGACTAACTTTCTCCCATGTCAGGTCCATTAAAAAGACAGGCTAGTGAAAACCAAAACAATACTCAGGCTGGCTTATGGTTTCCCTTCAAAGCAGGAACTTTGGAGGATATGTAAATATTAGGGCTAGGAGACTCCCCTCCATCCAAATAAGAAATGTATTAGGCCTGTCTAATCCAGCCTTCTCCTAAAATGGATCCAGGGACTCGTTAATACTCCATGATGGACCTTTTTCTTTTCAGTACTTTTGCTGGCTCTTTTTCATCCATCCTATCTCTTTGTCTTCCTCGAGATGTTCAGTTCAATAACTGTGATGGGCAGAAGGAATCGCCTTGAGGAACAGGAGGAAGAGCCTCAACCAAGACAATGGTCAGATAAAAGAAACCTGAGTC